ACATTCACTCCCCCCACCTACAATCCCTGCCGGTACGAGACTCGAACCCGCAACCTTTGGGTTACGAGTCCGACTCTCTAACCATTAGGCCACGACTTCCCTATTCCTATATTCCCAAAGTGAATATAGGAATAACTTTTATAATGTTAGTAATATTTCAAGATGAACATTTACTGGACTGAAGCCACTTAGGTTTACTTGATTATCCATACAAGATCTTTTAGAAAAAATGATGGTAAAATGTGAAAAGCTTTCGATGAATGTTTATTTGTTCATCTTTAAATCATCATTGTATTGCATTGCATTATATTTAGTTTTTCTCCCACAATTAAAACTACAGAGCTTTGAAAACTAAGCATTTAAATATCTTACTAGACATATTATTGGGAAATACAGAATGACAACTCATATTTATATGCATTTTACACAAGTAGTCTGTTGTAAAAAAAATCTCATTGATATACAAGATTTTCTCAGTTTAGGCTGCTAGTGAAACTGAGGTGTTTTCTTTAAGTGTGAGCTCCTTATTCTCACGATATCATATTATATGAGCCTGATATATCAAATATAACACAAAACACATTTGCAAACTTTATTTTAGTTTCCTTTATTTTGTCTTTAAATAAATTTGTCTGACTATAATTTTACATGTCTGACTTAACAGAGTTGATTAAATGAATCCTCCCTGTATATCAGTTCAAATCTGACCATGACCCTGATGTTCATGTGATGATCTCACCTTCGCATACAGTCTCTCTCCATCATTGTCCATAATCAGAACAGCTTTAACAGTGTACAGAGAGGGCTCCTGTCACAGCACACACACAAACATGACAAATCACCAATGAATTACAGTGAAAACAATCAGGTGATCAGGGCAAAGGTAGAGCAGACATGGAACTGTCCCTGCAGATGCCCATCAGCTTAATATTAAACTTAATATTTTAACATAATACTTCCCTGTAACAGTATATTAATCTTTACCTTTTGGTATATAATTCATATGCACGTTATTGCTAAAGTCGTAAGGTTGGTTACTGATGCATTGTTTAGCGGATGTAGTGGAAGTTCTATCTGAAGTGGAAACAGCGGATTTAACTGCTAGCGGATGTTTTACACTTTAAACGCAAATATGAGACACACAAACATAAAATCATATTACCAATATTAGCGTATCCATCTTGTACTGTACAGATGTCGCTCACTCAACCTCCGTGTATTGAACTTCTGCGTATGTGTACTTCCGCTTACGACATGAGGTAAAAGGGCAAAACTGAGCGGAAGTACTCGTTACAACGTCATTAAAGATCGCGGAAAATATTGCGGGAAATTAATAAGTACAAAAAAAAACCTTATTATACATAATGAGTTTTTTTTTTTTTGAGAATTTAAAAATGCAGAAGGTTTTCTGTGATGGGTAGTTTAGGTGTACGGCGATAGAAAATACGGGTTGTACAGTACAGTAGAAAAAGCATTGTGTCTATGGACACTCCCCACAAGTATAGTAAACCAGAAATGTGTGTGTGTGTGTGTTAGGGATGGGCGATACCCCTTATTTTGTTTTCGATACGATACCGATATTTTTCAAGGCAGTATCGTCGATATCGATACCGATTCGATACTTCTGCACTAAACTTTTAAATTATGAAATTTATTAAATTATTAAATTACTAAGAGTAGGCTAAAATGGGTAATGAAAACCACTTAACTTTATGTTTAAAACGCATTTTAACCCGTTTCATCCCAAATTTTTCCCAGACATGAAAACATCCAAATGATGTGTCATTAGTAACCCTTTGAAATAATTAATACATTTTTTTTTTTTGAGTACAGGTTTACCTACTTATGAGAGCCAAATACATGTTTGTAAATGTCCTCACAAATATAATGCAATATGTATTTAATGTTATATTTATATAGTTATATTTTATCAGACATATTTAATAACTTTAAACCAATGCAAAACAGGCTCAATAACAGAAATTGTGGAGTAAATGTAATTAAAGGGGTGGTTGATTTTTTGTTTGTTTTTTTTTTTGTAGTCCTTAAACAGCAATTTCTTTAAAAGAAAATATGTCACTTTGCATTGAACTTTGAGCATCCTAACTTTGCAGACGTTGTTTATGCTCTAACAGCAACATTACACACTAACTAATGTTAAAAAAGTGAAATTCTCCTTACACTAGTAAAGAATCAAAAATATCTGATATTTATTAACTTATAACCTATATTGAAGCAATATTGATGTTGATGTTTGATACTTTCAGTGTCTGATACACAGCTTGGTGAACCATAGCCATTTTTATTTATTAGCCTAAACATTGGCAGGTGTGGGGTACAAACATGCAATATGACATATAGGCCTAGGCTAAAGTATAAATATAAAAATAAATAGTTAAATATACTCTGAGCCCATTTAGTTAATGTAACTATATGTTATTACAGGATAGAAAAACACTTTACATTTATACATTTAGCAGACGACTATTAAATAGTGGAAAAATAAACAATCATGAACACCGAAAACTCATTTTAGTAGTGTGATTTTTTTTTCTGTATGATCAACTCTGTTCCTCAAGCTTAGCTATTGACATCCAGTATTTTGTCTGAATTGTATCTATTAAAATTTCTGTCTTCTAATTAGGGCATAAATTATTGTTTTTTCTTCTCCTGACACCTCCCCGCCTTTTGAGCCTATTTTCGTCTGCATTTTGCTGATTATTAACCACTTATTAGGCCTGTTTACTTGAAGTTTATATAAAAAATTTGAATTTAAAAACAAAACCTATTTACACAGTGTTTCAAAGTAGCATTACTAAAGGTGACTCACTATAAAGTCAACACTCGGTGCAATGACTTCATCTTGCTTTCAGCAATGGAAAAAATCTGAGCAGTAGTTCTAACCTGAAGTAAACCTCTGGCTCTCATGAGCAGACGCTTAGTCAAAGATAATGAGTGATTCGGATCCTGATTCTGAACTGATTGGGTTTGGAGTCTGTTTGCCCTCCGTGAATGACACACTGGCCTCAATGACACAAGTCCTCCTCAAAATTGCATATGCTTCCAGCCTGTCCTGTTTTTTTTCTGCGATAATTTAAGAGATCCTCCTACAACTGGGCATCATAATTACACTGGTCACTTTTTCTGGGAAGCACCACTGTTAAAACTAATCCTAACAGGGGTTTTCCCTGCGCACGGCTCAGCGCTTTACTACAGCAGCTACACTGACATCAGAAACGGTTTAATCTAGAGAGCTGTGGTGGGATAATTTGTAAGTAAAACTCACAATACAATGCTGAGCATGTTGACTGCATTTAATTTTGTATCCCAAATAAGTCTCGATGCAAAGAGGACAAAGAGTAGTTAGTATTCTGAAAAAAGATTTTCTTTATATTCTTCTACAGTAAGGAGGCTCACCAGCGAGTTTCACAATGAAACACTGGGTTTTCACAACTTTACCACGAAGAGCATTTCGAAATTACCCTATGTTATATCAGAGAGGATACAGTATGTGTTTCCTTGGTGTAGGCTACTTTTTTTCAGTTATGGTTATAATGTCACCCAGAGCATGAGAATTTTACTTCATAATGCTGTTCACAGAACAAGATTTATTTATTTTTTGTTGTATATTTTATATTATTATTTTCCTTATTTACTTTGTGTACTACTGTTTAAAAGTTTGGCCAATGTTGTGTGACTCCATACAAAAGTAACTATTGCATTACTTAGTTACTTTTTATGGTTACTTTTACATTACTTTTGTGTTACTTTTTGTCACCTGAGCTGGGCCTGCTTATTTGTTTAATAAAAAAAAAAAATTTAAAAAAAAACTTATTTTTTTGGCAACTGTAAAGGCCCTTTCACACCAAAAGTGAAATTCATAAGCCTCAGCCTGAAGGAAGTGCCTCTGCGCCTCCCCCGCGATTTCTCTCAACACGGGTTAGGAGAGGTGTCAGTAATTAAATGAGCTTGTGTTACTTATTTGAAAAAGTAACTCAGATATTTTCTTGTAAATTTAAAAGTAATGCGTTACTTTACTAGTTACTTGAAAAAAAGTAATCTGATTACTTGTAATGCATTACCCCCAATGCTGTATATATACATATATATAGTTACAAATTTTGGTTGTTTGTTTAAAAAATCCTGGGAAAAAAAGTTATGGAAAAAAAAGTATAAAAGATAAAAATGTAAAATGTGAAAATAAAAATTACATACTTATTCTGACCTGTACTTTCTAAAATATATAAAAGAATAAGTTATTGTACTAAATTTTATTATATTTTAAATGATTACAAACAAATAAGTCAAATTTAGTGATTTGAAGTATAGTGGCAAAGGCTGGTAAAGACTTAAAATTACAATTAATTCGTTTTTGGGGGCTACACTACACTTAAATAGGGTCTTTTAATGTCATCTAATTATTCTTGTTTTAAATATGCCTTACAAGAATTATTGGTGTACAAACTATTGAGTGATATTTTTTCTGTAAATCATGGTAAAAATGCAAGTATGTGTCTTAATTTTTTGCTCAGAAAAAAATTTAATTAAACAGGACACATTCTAATGTACTAATTTAAATCTGTATTAAACCTTTATTGTTTTGATTCTTGAAAGCCCCTTTTTGTCTTTGACCCATTTATATATTTGGCTGTCTGTATGTGAAGTACAGTATTTCATATGGTTGTGTTTATAGTGGATCTGTATGTTGCAGCCATTTAGAGCATGTTGTACTTGCTTTGAGTCATTTTGCCTTTATTACATTCATATGGCCTGCAGTGTTACGCAGCTGATTATTATGAATTCATTCATAAATTATTATTAGTTCTGTATTAACTAATAATAGAATAAATTATTATTAGTACTCCTGAAATAGCACTGCATTTACGGTTCATCTGGTCAAATGTACAGTGGAAATATTTGCAACAGAGCTGATCTTCTCAGAACTCAGTTTAGGAGAATATTTGTCACCAAACAATCGTTACACCTGACGAACTCCAAATGAGGAACCGGCACCCACAGTATCATTGCGCAGAGCAACTGTGTCACAATAGTGCTTCAGATAAAAAGATAATCGGACGTCTTTCACAATAACATCTTTATCTGTGCGGTCACGGCAAAGTACGTGTCCACTCATCTTTTTCACACAGTATCAGAAGGGCAGTGATGGACATGATCATCATAGTACTGGCCTGTGATGAGTGTCAGGCATGGCAGTGTGTCTGTATCCCGTCGGTTTCCCAGTGTGGGGATGGGTGTGTGAGAGCAGCGCTGCCATTGTGGTTGGAGCCTGTGGCTGCAGAAGGAGAGGAGAGCGGAGGAAAGGGGATGTTGGGTGGCGGAAGCTCTGCTGAGTGCTGATAAAGGCTTGTCTAGGTGCTCATGCTAACTGTTGTGGTTTCTGGCATGAGACGGTGGTTGAGGGGAGCTGTGTACAGTATCGCTGTATACTTTATTTCACCCGGCCTCCTCTATTGCACAATAAAGCATATACCATACAGCAAAGTCCAAAAGTGCACGTAAACGGGGAAGTCTGACATGGCGAATGTCACAAAGTTGCTTATTTGGTGTGCAAAAGTGGCCTAGAAATTGTGTGGATTCTTCTTTTTTCTTTGTCTTAAAAAATCTAAATCCTGTTGTTGAAGTAGTGCTGAAGTTGAATCAAGGCATATATTTAAAATGTACAATATTTGAGGTTAAAGAGAATGTTATTTATTTAATTGAGTGCTGCTAGAGTATATAGATTTTGCATCGGATGAAATTACGTTACTCTTGATTACTCATACACAAATTTTCCACTTTTCCCAGCAGCAGGCTTGGATGAATTTTCCCAATGGACCACAAACCAAAGACACAAATGCTCTCATCATAAGTAGCTTGTGAGGTTTTTCCATGTAATTGAAAACGTGTTCTCATGTTTACTTGTGGCTAATGACACTTTGATTGTGATATTTTTGACAGAAAAAAATAGAAGTTTTATATATATATATATATATATTTATACACACAGTACTGTTCAAACGTTTGGGGTTATTTATTTATTTATTTATTTAGCTGTTTTTTTTTTTTTTGACCAGTCTATGCTCATCAAGACTGCATTTAGATTTTGTAATTTTAATTCTAATATGCTGATTTGTTCAAGAACAATTTCTTACTACTATCAATGGTGAAAATATTTTTGTGGAAACTGTGATACATTTTTTTTCAGGATTCTTGATGAATAGAAGGTTCTAAAAGAATTTATAAATAGAAATATTTTGTAACATTCTAAATGT